GGGGGGTGCACGGACATCCGAGTGCGGATAGGACCCAGCAACTGCTGGGAGCAGCACAGTTATTGAAAGGGTTGCCCTGAAGAATAAAATCCACGTGCGGCACGATTTTAAACCTGAATATGTTTCTCATCCACTGCTTTTCATAGCTCTTAATTAAACTTTTGGCTCTTCTGCAGGCTTCCTGTACTAATAAGTAGTCGGCAGGATGTCAGTTCTGGGTAGGTTAGGAAGTTACCTTAAAATATATCCATGTGCACGTAGGCAGTTTCTCTCAGGTTGGTTATCCTTCCAGTAAGGTGTGCAAGTGGCAGTGGCAGCTGGGGCCAGTAAGGAGATGGTGCTTAACTGCAACAAGGGGCCAAACCACGTGTGCTTGCGTGTGCTTGCGTGTGTGTGTAAAGGTGCGCACTTAGGAAGGGGATGCCAAGGTCTGTAGCAGCGATTCCCATGGGGATGAGGAGCGGGGCTTTGGCCTTGGTCCCCGCGGTGCTCACCCCTCAGCACTGGCTGCATTGGGGCCGCCCCCAGCCTCCTGCCCCTGCCGGGGGGCGTTCAGGGCTGCGGCATGAGAACCGGCTCCCGGGAGCACCAATCCGGGCAGGAAGCCGGGCCCCCTGGTTGTGGATGTGCTTGGCCCCGGCCGGCACCCGTGGCAGCCTCGGGAGCGCAGCGGGGCAACTAACACTGATGCCAGGGCAAAACTGCCCCCCGGAGTGACCGCTCTGCCCTTGCCGCATCGAACCGTGAGCGCCGCGTGAGGAGCAGCAAGGCCTTTGGTTACTCGCTCCACATGCTTTCCTCTGTAAGGTAGAAAAGGAAGGGACTTCGGTGTCAGGACACTGTGGTGTCCGTGAAGGAGTCTCTAGGTCAGTTGAAACAACTACGTTCTGACGGTCGTGCAGTCGAAACTTGCCAGGGTGCCTCGTTGTGCCCCCTGCGGTGGCTGTGACAACAGGTCAGTAGCTGTGAGGTCTGCGGGAAGGAGGCACACAGGTCGGTTTACCACATCCTGGTATTCTTTCTGCAGATGTTTTTTGACTTTAAGCTACTTGTTTAACACGATGTTTTCAATGGATAAGGACAAATCAATCATAATGATATTTGCCATTCATAATTGCAATCTGTTTAAGTTAAGTAGCTTGTATTTTTTCACACTGTCCTTTCTTCTCCTCCTAGGAAACCCAGCGCTTGCTGGCAGAGCCAGTCCCTGGGATAAAAGCGGAGCCAGATGAAAGCAACGCACGTTATTTTCATGTGGTCATCGCAGGCCCACAGGATTCCCCCTTTGAGGGTGGGACATTTAAACTTGAACTCTTCCTTCCAGAAGAATATCCAATGGCAGCTCCTAAAGTACGTTTCATGACCAAAATTTATCATCCTAATGTAGACAAGCTGGGAAGAATATGTTTAGATATCTTGAAAGGTAAGTGTTGCCCTGTTCTCTTTCCGCTTTTACCCAAGTACAGAGACCTATAGATTGACTCCAGAGAGATGCCCCTTGCCTGCAAGGGGAGGTTACTTCTCCTCTGGCCGCGGAGAGGGCAGCGCGTTGCTCTCGCCGYGTGGGTTGGTGGCTCAGTGTGGTGTTTCGTGTTCGATGTTCATGCTGCTCCCCTTGTCTCTTCAGATAAATGGTCCCCAGCCTTGCAGATCCGTACAGTGCTGCTATCAATCCAGGCTTTGTTAAGTGCTCCCAATCCAGACGATCCATTAGCAAATGATGTAGCCGAGCAATGGAAGACCAATGAAGCCCAAGCCATAGAAACAGGTGGTGTATTGCTCCCGTTTTTTCCCGAGCTTTAGGAAATATATATTAAGCTGATTACTGGCGGGTTAGGGGATTTAAATGCTGATCTCCTGTTTTATGTTGGCAACTTGCAGGAGCAATCATGGCATGTGGTTGTAATCCAGGACCCACAATGGGGTCCACCTTCAGGCCTGCAAGCAAAGCCTGTCAGAGGAGTAGAATGCTCTGGGTCTGTTTGATCTTCAGCTTTGGTGCAGCTAAATTGCACGGGTGTCTAAATGGGACTTGTGACAGAATGAGAGTTTTTTGCCTTTCCTGTGGAGCTGAGCGTGCAGATTGCTAGTCACCCTTCCAAAGCTGCTCCTACAGGTGCCAGTGGTGGATGGGAAGGGTTCAGCACTYGGCCTCGTGGCTTCTGCTCCAACCAGGCCGTGGGCTCTGTGTGTCCCGGGGAGTCGGGGTCGTGCCTACAAAACCCCAGAGCTGGCATATGTGGCAGTCAGAGGCTTCCTCAGGATGATTGTAGTAAAGCTTGAGAAATGCAAGTTTCCTAAATGTCTTCTCTCTCTCTCCCTCTCTCTCTCTCTCTTTGCAGCCAGAGCATGGACTAGGCTATATGCCATGAATAATATTTAAATGCGCTTTGAACATCAAGTGTGCATCACTTCTCCTGTTCTGCCAAGACCTCTTCCTTTTTGTTTGCATTTAATGGACACAGTCTTAGAAACATTACAGAATAAAAGCCCAGACATCTTCAGTCCTTTGGTGATTAAATGCACATTAGCAAATCTGTGTCTTGTCCTAATTCACTATTGTAACGCATGAGCAGAGGCTAGAAGTATCATCTGGATCGTTGTGAAATTGTTTAAAAGCAGCAGCACATCTCTGCTTTTAATCATTTCTCCCATCATGGTTTAAGTATAAGCACTGTGAACGAAGGTAGGCAGGGTTAGCTGCGGGGCTTTTTTGTTTTAATTTTGTGGGCTCCTCTTCCCTTTTTATGGTGATGCTAATTGCATTGGTTMAAGCAGCTAACCAGTTATACTTTAGAATATACCCTCTAGCCCAGTCTAACTTAGACGCTGTAGATGGACAAGCTTCATTGTTTGAACAAAAATGGGAACATTAAACGAACATCCATCACCCTCACTAATAATATTGTGATTCTGCTGTCAAGTGTAGAAAAATCCCTCCAGTCCCTCCAAGAAAAAGCTTGTGACCATTTTGTATGGCTTGTCTGGAAAATCTCCTGTAAATCTTATGTTTTAGTAAAATATTTTTTGTTATTCTACTTTGCCTTTGTACAGTTTATTTTGCTGTGTTTTCATTTCTCTAATGTGACAATCGTATTTAAAAAATGGAAACCAGAATTGACAATTTGTCTTCACCAGTCTGACAGATTAAACAGTAAAGAGGTGGAATTCACAAGATTTTTTTGCTTCTGTTTGCTGACTTTGTTCTCAGATTGCTGTACGGGTGGCTTTACCTGGCCCGTTCAACGCGAGGTTACCTTGGGAGTGACTTCCAGAACGGAGCCGCTGCCGTAAGCGCGGGGCTGGCGCTTTCGCCACGCGCCCGCGCGCCGTTTGTTGGAAAGGAGGCTCGGAGCGAGCGGGAGCAGCGCGGGCGGGCACGGGCTGTGCCCGCGTGGGGCTGTGCCCGCGTGGGGCTGTGCCCGCGTGGGGCTGTGCCCGCGTGGGGCTGTGCCCGCGTGGGGCTGTGCCCGCTGCCGCTCTCGCTCGGTGCTGTGAGGGGCCTGCTTAGAGCAGCAAAGCTGCTGTGTGGGGGAAGGCAGGTTTCCCTCGCTTCCTAGGGTTTGTGTGTGTGCATCTCTTCTGGGAGCCCAGCATCTCTTTCTGGGGACCTTATTGTTTGRCCTTATTGTTGATCTTATTGTTTCCATTTAAAGTCTCCTATCCCTTAATTTCTGCCCTTACCACCCGTTTCTGCCCCCAAACAAGCAAGGAKAGCAGCTGTTAAGCCCTAGATCCTGCAGTGTGTGGGCGACTGTGCAGCGGTTGTGGCGGGCAGTGTTTTTCATGCCACTCAGGGTCGTGCTTACACAGCCCRCCATTCCTGTCCCTCTTCCACCTCTTACTCTAGTAGCATCTGGAAGTTTCTGTAGGATGTGGCGCGTTCACCGTGGTCTCCTGTAAGATGAAGAGTATCTGTTGAGGGCGCGTTTCCCACGCACAGCGCTATCCAGGGGCAGGCAGAGGCTGCTGCCCCTTGGAGGGCTGTGCTCTAACGTGGTTGCACCTGGGCTCCGAGTCCAACATCCCTGCCAGAAACACATTGGCATTAGTCTGTGTGTGGGGTGTAGGCCGGGGAATGTAGGCCGGAGCTGCAGCCGCCGTGGGGCCCCGTGGGGCCGCCTCTGCCCTCCCGCCCCCGTTAACTGCACCGGAGAAGTGGGTCTGAGCGGGCGTTTAACTGGTCTTAGCTGCAAGCTGGGTGGGATGAAGCCAGACCAAAGGCCGCTTAGCCGGTGTTCAGGGCTGAAAGTCACAGCTCATGTAACACTACTTTATYCAAGTTCTCCATGGAACATCATTAATATATAAATAGGGGAAAACATATGAATAGTGCCCATGTGATAGTGACTGGAGAGGATTCTRGTACATTTGGAGTATGCAGTGGTCACTCCATGTGTTTCAGGGGTGCGTTTTCCCCTGTTTCTCCCAAGTATCTCTTGGAAGCTGGTGAGGCCCCACTCAAGGTGGGTGGCCCCCACCCARAGGTGAGGCCTTTGCTGTACGAGTCCCTAGCTCAGGATGCCTGAGCATTGTGGTGTAAAAGGACAGGCTAAACAGCAAGGTTCAAAACTTCATTGAGAAAAACAAGTGATAATTCTAACAACAGGAATTTTTAGATGGGCTTCCTAAAACTAAAATTCCTGTTTGATATGGGATCTATTCAGGTGTTATTTTATTCCTTTTTAATTGGACTCTGTGTGTATGTGTGTATATAGAGATGAAATATGTATTTAATTTTTGAGCTTGACTTTGGGGCCCTGTGTAAAGCRAAGCTGGGACTTCCATGCTATATATTGTATTTGGGAATCTGAAATTTCTGAAATCAAGTGGTCCGCATCTGCTTAGCTCCCATCAGTTCAGCAAGGTGCATGTCCACAGCCATCATCTGGAACATGCTTGCTCCTAGGACATCTAGGATTACAGCTGGCTGGCAAATGTCGCTTGCTTCTAGTGAGCGTGAGCTAAATTTACCTGCATTTTTAATGGATATACATTGGATAGAGCCACAGTAAGGGRGCTTCCTATAACGTTACTGGTGCTAAGTGTCAAATATGCTGAAATCCTGAGCAGGAGTGTTGACACAGCGTTTTGTATTTKAGTTTCTGGATAACAACTCCGAGCTGTGGAGCTTGGATAATCAAATGGACTGAACTGGCACCTGCACACATTTTGCAGGAATTTCCTTCAGATCAAGCAAAAGGGTTCRTGAGGCTTCTACTTTTGCATAGACTCCTGAGGAGTATCAGTGCTCACCTTAAAACATTTAGCCACATTCTCCTGTGGGTGTGAAGCGTGTTCTCCCTGGGAACTGCTGGGGCAGGTTTTTGCGTGTTAGCTGACTAGTCAAATACAAGTGAAATGTTGCTTCTCTAGCTTTAAGAAAGTGTATTTCCAAGATTATTGTAAAACATCTTAATGGACTAGTAACATCAAAAATTGTGACATCTCTCAGCTTACRTACATTCCTTCTTGGGATCTTTCTTTTTGAGGGTTACTTTCAAGTAAAAWGTCTGGTAGGTTTTGTCAATAACATGTCTTGACTGTAATGTAAATGACACTGAAATAAAAGGAAGAGTGATGATCCATGACCTAGACACCGAGCTTCATTTGCCTGCAGTGGGCTGCCCTTACCCTGCCCTGGCTCCCTGGCACTTCTTGGCATCCCTTAAGAACAGGAAGGTACCCGAGAGCTCGCGCTCATAATTCACATTGCCAGTGCTAGTGGGGGGGCTTTGGTGGCATGTTTCAGTACGAGTGCACAGCTTGGGCACTTTCTAGCCCAAATTGATACCTGGGGGGCTTGCTCTATGCACTGACAAGCCGGGTTACGTTATTAGCATGCATGCTAAGGGGAGTAGTTTCATGTCTGCTCTGTGTAACTGGTTTCCCACCATGTATTAAAGCCTTTGCTGGCAAAAATGTGCAGGAAGACTTTGAAGTGCTTAGGTGTCTGTTTGCACTGAATTATAGGAGGGAAGTGGCATCCCACCAGCTTAGCTAACTGCTTTATCCTTATCTGCCTTGGCAACATATCCTCAGCCGTGTAAGTTAAAGGCAGAAAGGGTTCAGAACGAGCACCTAGAGCCTCTTACCCTCGTCTACAGGACAAAGAGCCAAGGCTGGAAACTGCTCCCTCTCATCTGTTCGTGGCCAAGAGCTCTTAGCTGCGTGCTGCTTCCTCCAGGCCTTGCTGGTAAAGAGGCTTAGTCCCTGCACCTACAMCTCTCCTTGCTAGCTCAGGTGGGTGTGAAGGAGTTGTCACCTTTGTGTAGCCTGTCCCTGGGACACTGAATACTCAAGCAGCCTCCTTGAGCTTTAGATCCTGAAAAAGAAAAAAACAGAAAATAAAATCTTCTGACACAGGAAGCTCCTGCATGGAGGGCTGGTTGCTGGATGGTGCACCAGAACCTCCCTGTTGTGGGAGCTGTGAGGGAGCCTTGTGCTGTGGCCTTGTCTGCACCTCGCCCTCTGCCAGGTAACAGCATTGAGGCGCCTCTAATTTCTGGAGCAGCCGCAGGGTTGCAGGGAGCAGGGTTAAACCCGCACGTTGAGGTGTTGGGCAGTGGCCTGCAGCACCCGCCAGGCCTCGCTCAGCCCCGACTCCCTGTGCATCCAGGACCGCGGCGCTGCGAGCGCCTCTCCCGTGCTCTGGACATGGACAGAGGAGCTGCCCGCGGGGCATCCCTGCTCCAGAGGCAGGCGGCAAGGGGAGCAGGGCCCAGCGGAGCCRTTCCAGTGGAGTTTCTCCTTGTCGCGGGGGTTTTGCCCTTCTCCTTCAAGGGCAGCTCCCCTCAGTGGCGYGGCGGGGAAGCAGAGGGGCTGAGCTGGGCTCAGGGGAGCACGGGTGCCTCAGAAAGGAACCCGCGCTGAGGGCCATGGCGCGAGGCCCTGGCGGTGTCCAGGCCCCAGCTAAGCCTGCGTGGGGATAAGAGAAGGTGCTGGTGGGACCCCTGCCCTGCGGTGTGTTGGTTTTTGTGCGTTCCCTAATCCTGCCCGCCGAGGTAGGGAGGGAAAGCTGCCCAATGCGGGCCCGGGGGAGCCGCTGCTTGAGGAGGTTCAGGCGGCCGCCAGGCAGGGGGCAGCGAGCGGGGCTGGGGGCCGGAGCAGCAGCCTCGGCCCCCAGCTGCAGTAGCTCCTTGAACAGCACTTCGTGCTTGCGGGGGGACAGGAAGGGGTGCGGAAAGGTGCCGGACGGCATCATGCCAGAGGGCATAGGACTCTCAGGGGGCTCCGGCCCCTGAGGGGCCCCAGCCGCTGCTTGGAGGGAGGAGGTGGCACCAGCYGCCCCTGGTACCTGTGGCCACGCTGTGGGGCCGCCCCACAGGCCTTGGTGCTGTGGAGCCAGCCTTAGGCCMCAGCACCACTCAACTGCACAGAGAGAACAACACAGCTCAGGTACAAGGGGTGAAGGGCAGAAGACTCCTTCCCTCTTCTTTCCAGTGCTTGGGGAAAAGAAAAACCCTTCTGCTTCTCCTGCTGCAGCTTGTGTTTTACAAACACTTGACCCCTCTTTAACTGTGCTTCAGCTTTGCCTGTATCTGCATGGTAGGGTCTGACCTGTGCCCCAGCAGACACTAAAGCTTACCCGCTCTAAAGGGCGGGATCAAGGTGGGAGGGCAAAATGAATGAGTGAAGACCAAGGAAGGACAGGGATGCTGCTGGGGCAAACTCGAGTCTCTCACCCCTTTCTGTCTAGGCCCTGGCTCCTGTGCCTGATCAAGCACCCACAGCACAGCTGCTATAGAGCTCACAGAGCTGCAGGGGGAGGCAGGAGGGGTAACGGGAGGAAGTAAAAAGGGACAATTCATCCAGGTGCWGAGGAGAGCAATCTAAGACACCAGAAACACTGCGCTAGCCCAGCCTCAGTGCGGGGGCTAAACACTGCAGGATGCAGCGAGCAAAACAGAGACAAATCCCAAAACCCACCAAAACCACCAACCTCCTTCTGTAGAGTTTAGGTGGGCTCTCGGATTAATACCTTGAGTGGCTGTATAGGAGACAGAATGACTACACCATCCACAGGACTAATTTAGATTTTATTTTGGTATATCTCAAATATAAAAAGTCAAAATTCTTACATCAATCTTTAAAGAAAATCCATGCAAGCAGGTCAAAATGTTTACAACTCAAAATTGCCCCCCATGCCCTTCCCTTCAGTTCTCACTCACAGCCTCTTTGTTGATGAGCAAATCAACACTTTTCCTCTTTTTTTTTTTTCTCTCCACAGCACATTGTTAGCAGAGTAGCCTGTCAGCAGTGCAAAAAGCACCAAAACAAGGTTTGTTACTTCAACGGCTTTTGTGCAAAACCTCAGTGTTTCTTACACCATTCAACCATATCAGTTTCACTTAAAACCAGCTCCACCTGGGTTTAAAGATTAAGGCTATTTCTGTTTGATACCATAATCTCATGATAGTCAATCTTAAAACCTAGCAGCCAGGAAAAGCATTGGTGCAAAGCAGACTTTGTGAAATGTGCAGACGGGACCAGCTCCCTTCCCTTCCCTTCCCACAAAGGAAGGGAATGTGGGTGCTGCACAGGCTCTGAGGTGTAAGAGTGAATAACCAGTATCTGCTCCCTACCAGMCATGGTTGGTCCATCGAACTAAGGATGCACAGACAAGAATTCAACAGGTACCAGGACAACCCTTTGCCTTCCTACCCCAACTTGTACACAGGCCCTTTCCTGAAGCCTAGTCTTAACCAAAACTAAGCATAGCAGTCAGGATGTATTAACTGCCTCCTTTCTGTAACACATTCTGCAGCATAATTGATGCAGTTTCAATTTACCTTYCCTGGCAGGTTTGCACAATTCCTAGAACAAATACCTTTGAGAGGCAGAACTCCAGCTAAACAACACTGGGCTTCATTCTGAAGGCCGCACAGAGACTGAAGAGATTTATACAATGAATGCTGTTTAAAGAAAAAAAAATTCATCTGGCACCACTAAACAGCTCAAATGTGAGACCAAAAAATAACCAAAATATTTATAGGCAATCAATGCTGAGTTTGTTAGCAACAGCAATACTGTACATTTTTACATTATTATCAAATAACATAATTCAAGAGTTACAAAATAAGATCATGCATTACCACTAAATTTCATACAAGCTTGGATTGGTTTCATTTCCAGAATTTGAAACCRATACAGAAGCATTTTTATGACTAAGAACTTGAACTCTGGATTCTCCATTTAAGTTTCACAGATTCTATATAGTCTTGTTACAAGAAAGCCTGTACAAGGTCRCTGGATGTGAAGTGTTAAAATGCTACTGAACAAAACCAGCATCACCTGCGAGTGAGCAAGAAGGGAGCCAAGCTCTTTGCTTCTGAAGGCAGCTCTGGAGGCCGAGGTTCCCCAACACAGGGCAGCTCAGGGACAGTAACAGTGCCCAGCTCCCCATTTTGCTCTGTCCAGCAAAAGCTCCTGTGATGGACAAACCTGTCCATGGAAAGAGGTGGCCCAGGCTGGACTGGGTTCCACCTGCCAGCTACCCAACTACCACTTTCCTCCTCTAGCCCCGGGGCTAAGTTATCTGCGATACTGCCACCACCTTTACCTGCACCTGAACCAACCTGCAGCTTCCTTCCYGTTCTGGAAGGGGCCTGGAAGAGCAGATCCAGGATGGAAAACACAACCTACCCAGCATTTCAGCATCCTCCCTCATGTGGCTCACACCTCCTGTCAGTAGTTKTTACTGTAGTTTTACACCTCTTCAAAGACAGCAGCATTAAGAGACTGGAACCCTGGTCTCCCTACTTTCACTGCATTTACATATGGCACAAGATTGTTTTCTAGAAGAGTAACTTCTGTGGCAACTTTTTTTTTCCTAAAAAAGTGTAACAGCACAAAAAAAGTTTAATTTATAGCAGCATTTTACACAATTTGTGTTAAAAAAGTAGAAGTTAACCATTTGTGTATTGAGTAACAAAAGGTTTAAATTACATTTATTTTCCATTTTACACTCACTATTTACTAGTTGGACTATTTACAAAAGTTCAGAGGATGTAAGAGAATGAGCTTTACCCAGAATAAGCTTCACATGTGAGGCACTGCTCTGCCTCAACCTGTTTTGGCTGACTGGAAAGGAGGTACAGACAGGTATAATGTTTATATCCTAGGRAAAAAAATGCAGTTAGAGTATCCATATAAGTTAGACTGTGTTCTTGAAGAAAACCACACTTGCACACAAACCCTATGGTAAGAACATATTAAGACCTACAGTGAATTTACTTTTTTTTTTTTTTTTGGCAGAAAGAGTGAAGAAAAGAACAGCAACACTGTCAGCTGAACCTCATTTATTCCAGCTAGGTTTTACCAAGAGGTCAGCTTTCACTTCAAGCAGTGAAAGCAACACCTGTTAAGAGTGTAAAAATTAAGAACTAACACTACTGGGGCTTTCAACATAGCTTATTTATAAGACAAAAATCATTCCTCTGCTAGGGTAGTACCAGGCCACTTGCCTCCACACCTGGGTAGAGCCAGGCTACTAGCAGGCACATCTTAAGGTGTCTTGCTCAGCAGGACCTGGATACTCTGCAACCTGAAGGGTCCACCCGGGGTAAGTCCTACCTAAAACATTTTAGATGATGAGGGGCTGCAGGAGCACCCCAGAAGGCTTTTGGAGCCTGCGCTGTAATTATACCACGAACAAAACAAACGTGGGCCTTGCAAGGAGCACCAGAGGTGAGGGGACCTGCTGCCCTCTTCATGCGCAGCAGGTGCTCAGGGYGTCAGCTGGCCACGTAACAGAAGCTGCGGGAAATTAATTTATTCTTCCTGTCTAGTTCTCTACATTATATGAAGACTGCATAGGACAAGGCAAACTTCTGGAGGACTGAGGCAAGCGCTGCTTAGTGGAAGCCATGGCTGCAAGAGGCCAAATGTTTAACACTGCTTTGTAGTCACACTCGTGACTCTCTGCCTTCAGCGCACAGTCTTCCCAAGAAAGTATCTTAAGTTCTTAGCACTTTGGTTGTGGATACCAAATAAGAGTTATAGTTTAAGACTATTCATTCAAGCTGTTCTCCAGGCAAGTGCTCTTGCAGAACTACTGCCTAGAACTGACAGGTCTTGGATAAGCTGAACACAATCAAGCTGCATATTTTAGCAGATATGGAAATTTATATACTCAAGTTTCATTTCTTTTTTWAAAAATGGCCTATTAAGGCATCTTAAAAAAATCCATATATGGCTTTGGTTTGCTGAAATACTATTTTACATTGTTAAAAAAGAAAAACATATTCAACAAATCTGACATTATAACGCATTCAGATATTTTACTTAGAACTGACAGTTACACAGATGCCTAACGTGTGAACACAGCTGTGTCTCCCCCGGGATGGCATGAACAGAAAGGGAATTCCAATGTTTATCTTACAGTAGAGGGCAACCCAGAAGTCTGTGCAGAAGTGACATATAAGGAGTTATTATCTGGAAGAGGGGGAACCACAGAATTTCCATTAGTGGGTGAGCAGCTCAGTTTCAGTTTTTCCAAGTACTCTGCATGAACAGGCTTGTGACACTGCAGGACCTTGATTGCATCTTCTACTTTAAACCATTCTCTTTTCCTTCCTGAGGGAGTGTAATACATAGACAAATAGTTACAAATTAGCAACAGCAAGTGCTATTGAAAGTTAAGCTTTTCCTTATTTCATTTTAGAAACATGTTGTCAGACATAAGAAATAGAAAAAATGCTGAAAACAACTGAAGAACATGAATTCACTCAAAGTTACTGAAGCAAAGTTCATAATATAGCACCAGAGATAAGAACTCCCTTCTGGCAGCAACTGCTGGGGAAAAGCTACATCTAGTCACTCTATTCCCTTCCCTAACTGCCTTGCACAGAAGCAACGTGTGAAGAAGGCACACGCAGGCATCAAGTGAAAATAAGAACTGCTTYGTCTGGTGCAGAAAGCAGTGTTCAAGACACTCACGTTTGAGGATACTCGTGTTAGCTGAACGCTTCCAAAGAGAGCTGACTGTATACTAGTGAAATGTTTAGGCTAGTTCTAAGACAAGTAAGTTCTTTAACACGATAGGCCTCTGAAAAATCTTTATAAATGAGGACAATGCTCTGAAAAGTGGAATTAATCCCATTTTTTCATTGGCTCAACGGTGTTAGTGTCAAATATTATACTCAACACTAACATGGCTTGTGCAAGCTGTTTGAGACCAAGATGTTGCTCATCACAGCAGTTCATTCAGCTCCAGCATCTCACCCGTTGCTAGCAGCTCTCTCCCCACTTGACATGAAAGAAGTTGTCAGTAACCACAGTCCAATGCTGCCCTCTCCCCACTAGCTGGGCACTAGGGAAGGCCAGACCAGCACTGTCCCCACTGTCCCCTGCACCGTACCAGGTCAGAAGCTTCAAGAAAAGCAACCAAAGGAGGCAGCTGGGCACATGTGTGTGCACATCCCAGTGACATCCTGTCTTGACAGATGCGTGGGTAGATGCACAAACCCTCATTTCAATCAAGCTACTACTGTGMAGCTTTTGATATCTAAAGGGTTGGTAACTCAAAATTAAATGGACAAATATAATGAGGTCTTCCATGCTAAGCATGGAATTAATATTTTTTACTTAAGAGAGTTGGTGAGTGTAATTAATTACATTTAATTTCATTAAAAATATCAAAATAGATCCATCTAGTATTGTGTAGGGTCAGATGTAYTTTAAGAGACAGGTTCTGGTGAACAGTACCAGAGTTCCCTACCTTTAAAAAGAGATTTTGTATTATAAGTGACCTCAACTAAAAATGAAATTGAATCCATCTTAATGTAGAATATATAAGAGTAATACAACATACTGAAGCAAACCTAGCTACATTTTTACAGAGGGACAGACAAAAAGCATGACRATATCCAGTTATTTCAGAGAATAAAGATTTTCCCCATAATGTTAAAAGCTGTTTTGATTATGAAAGACATTTGCTTAAGACACCACATGTAATACATGAGGACAGAGGTTTACCTATGTTAACTGAATCCTCCCAGTCTTCCAGTATTTCCGTCACAGTAAGAACATAAACRTATGTCCTGTGCTTCCGATCTTGATTCTGCTTGAATGTCAGAGAAAGGTTTTAATGCACATCAAGTACTGTAAATAACTTGCAGACTTACCACAACTATAAGGTTAGAAGTTACTTGCCCTGAGGTTATTTCTCCCAGCAAAATACAGTTGCAACACGCGGAATTGCAGCAATAAATCAGTTGTATTTTAGTTGATCAGAGTGTCCTTGTTACCCTGAAGTGGAAGCGTTGGTGCTTGGCAGCCTGGTGCTCATTCTGCTCACCATTAAACAGGCAGCAGTTTAATCACATTCAACTTTACATTCAGCTATGAGCTCATGGAGCTTGCTTATCTAGAAGTGCTATTATAAGAGGGGCTTTCATTACCTGTTGCAGCTGAAGAAAATATTTTAGGAACAATGTGACACGAACGTCTTCGTTTACAATCTAGTTATTAATCTTATGAATTAGAACTGCAGCAATGCTCAAATTCTGCTGAATGGCAAAACTATTTCTGGAACCTGAGGGAATACTGATTTAACTGAAAATGCAGAAAATTTGTTCATGCAAAAAGGTCATGAGAAATCCATCTGAAAGCTGTTTTAAAAATTGTTGGAGAACGTAGAGTCACGACTGACTAAATTAAGAGACTTCCAGCTTGCACACCATGCAGTGCACCACAGTACGCTGGATGTATGTGAAGACTTAGGTCTGCAGTTCTAGACATAAGGACTCTTGCCTGGAACTTGCACAGTTTACTGCAAAGCCAGCGCTAAAGCAGCTTTATCTAGAACATAAGCCTTGTTGGKAGGTGTTCCAAGCATGATACTTACACCAAGAAGCCTAAGTTTTGAAATATGTAAAACTGCCATTGGTTTGATTCTCAATGTCTCAATGTTAACTCCAGTTCTCCAAGTACTAAATCTTCCCAGAAAACTTGTTAGTACATGGAAAGGACCCCATTCAAATATTTTACACTATGTAGCAACAGGAGAACAAGAATCTAATACCTCAGCCATTAAACTTGCACTGTAAAATTAAAGGCAAGTAACAAGAACTTCARTTTTACTGCATTGTGTAAAAGTTATTTTCTGTGGTTCTTCAGCTCTCACAAAAAATAATCCTGTTTTCAAGGAAAGAGCTCACCTCAAATATTCCAAGCAGTCTGCCGAGTTTTCCCTTTACCCCAGCCTATAAAAGAAACAGCAAAAAAGTATTAACRTGTGTTTTGTGATTTCAAAAACTAAAATACTGTAGCGCCAGCTTCCTAAACAAGCATTAGTGAACATCTTATAGGTATTCAAGTAAATCTAACTTTCTGGAGTGCTGTATTGCCTCTGAGTTTAAATTGAGTATTTTACGACACAAAAGCCTGGCCTATTGTGCAGATCCAAGAATGTATGGATTCCCCCAAACTTTCCATGCAGACCACAACTGCATGGACCATTTTACCTCATCTTTGTGTGTTACTAAAGAGTTAAGTGACATCAGTATTGAGACTAACAATGACGGTAGAGATAATTGTAGTAGTAGARCAATAAATCCAGAGCAGGAATGTTTAGAGCTCTGCTATTTCAGAAARAAAAGTTTTGTTCTAAATTTTTAAACTACCCCTCAGCTTGTACTTGGCAATTTTCTTCATTGCATGCAAGGCAATGATGATCATTATTTTCCACCAACATTTGGGAGTTGGGCTTTCCATTAAAAGTACTTTTTCCAACTTAAGTCATTTATAGTCATTCATGTATTCTGAAAAAACCTCCTTGAGACAAGAACATGCGTGACCTCCTGGCAGACTTAATTCACTTACACTTTTGTCTTGTCTAAACATGCTTAAAGCAGGGCTTTTAAGTGCTAGGATGATGTCTTCTAGCCTTCAGTCTATTCCAGCTTTAACCAGAGCAGGTCATTGATGTTTTGTGTTTTTATATGAAGGACCATCTGGATCATAATTACATTTTCATGAGCAATTCTGACAGACAACAGGGCAGGCCTTAGCGAAATCTAATCAAGACCGCCCAAGCGAACACTTCTGTGCCTTTCTTTAAGGAAAGCAGATGGCTGGTGCTGTTCATTAAGCAGCTTTGACGGAGCAAGTTAAATCCCCATCACGGAAACCTCAGGGAGCGTTTGCTTATCCGGAGCAAACACCAGGCCTGATACCGGCGCGGAGCCGCGCGCAGCACCGCGAGGGCCACGTGCCTGGCTGTGGGGACACCCGCCCTGCTCCATGTGCTCCCTGCCCTCCCAGCCAGGGAAAAAGGTCCCACATTTGGCCCTTAATGGCCACACGGTGTATCAACGGATGCCTGGCAGCTCTGGGCATGTTGATTTCCACAGATCTGTTAGAAGAAAGTTGATAAGCAACTTTAGATGCTTGCAAGATCTGCCAGCTACAGCSTCAGGAAGAAGTGGTTCATGATGGAGAAGTGTTTCCTGCCCCCCCTCCCCCCTTTTTTTTTCTCTTAAACTATTTTGGCTGAAGCAGCCCCTAAAGTTCTTCAGCCATCTCCTACTGCAATTACATTGCAATGCAGAACAATGTTACACTACACTGCAATTCCTATTGGATATGAGAYTAAGCATCTTCATCATGGCCATGATAAACTCTAGCTTGCTCATTTCTTCCCTGAAGTTGCATCAGATTCCTAGAGCAAGACCAGTCAAGATCATCAGAGCTATCACTCAACAGCCTGACAGAGCCCAGCATGGACTCCACAGGCTTCATGACCACMAAAAGCCCCTTTTTCAAATATCAAGCAACCACTCTAAAAGGAAAGACAGAACCAAAACCTTTCAAGATCTTAGATGCCTTTGAGAAGTCCTGTCAATGACTTCATTTAGCTCATCAGTTGGTTAAAGCAAGGGCATCAGCTCACACCACAGGCACATTCCCTTTGCCCTCCATGTAAGTTTAAGCACTTAAGTGATTAATTTTGAATAATCAGAAGCACTATTACATGAAGTGTGAAAATCCCCCCACAAGCAACTTGTATTTGTACAACTACACGCAGCTACACTAACTATGGGATTACTACCACTGACTTCTACTTACTCTAGGCAAAGGTGTGCTTCCAAAGTGTAGTATTCCTGTAGACAGCATCATCTTTGGAAACATTTATACTCTAAGGAAGAGGAAGCAACTAGACTCATAATTCCTAATAAGCTATTCTCACCTCAATTACAACATCTTCAGAATTCAAAACCCATCATTAGAATGACACTGATCCCTTTTTAAAGATTTTTACCGCATTGTAGCTCATTCGAAAGGTATAAAGAGCAAAGCGCTAGATCAAAAAATGCTTCAGCATTTTCCTGGAAAGCCAAGTAMAGCTTCGTTTTCCCAGTGCCAGCTCCTACTCCAGTACATTGGTGCTAGACTTTGAACCATTTGCCTCAAACACATCTTTCCTCCTTTTATATGCCCCAAGGTTCTCAAAACAAGGCAGCTAAAACTGTTAAGTAAAAAGAATCCTATAGGCTACAAGCAGCAAGTGAGAAACACTAAAATCTGGGAGAAAAGSCCAGTGAAGCAGCATTTCCTTTGGCAGACAGGCTGTTGAGCCAAGCACTACRCCCACGCAGACTTCCTTAGGGCTTGCTCTATGGGCTCCATGTAGATAATGCACCAAACCTGAAATTATGCATATTTTAGCATTAGACTAAATACAACCGCAAGAGGAAGAACCGGCCAGCTCATTCCATMGTCTTCCTGGCCTGAAAGAGGCTCCAGAGGGACAGATGGAGCCATGCGGAGAGCCAGACCTGCAGCCAGAGCTGCCTCTTCCTTCCCGCAGGTGGAGCAAGAGCCACACAGCCAGTTGCCTCGCAGCTCTGCCAAGGCGGGAGGCTGCTCAACTCTTTACATCTGAAAAGTTTAACTGTGGGAATTGCTGGCCTATATTTGAATAGTGACTCTTGAAGAAACAGCACGAAGCTATTCCTGCCCTGTCTTGCAAACCTCTTACGTAAAACCTGGAGAGCATCTGCTGCAATCTTTCCTCTAGAAGGAAAGGCTGTTTTTCTGTGGGTGTTCAAGTCTATGCCTCATCCCGGCTCTGAAACACACAACCATTTTCCAGACATCAAGTGCTCACTGGAGCAGCCTCCCGTGAGAGGTCATGGATGGAGTTACTGCCATTTCCACTGGTGCAGCAGACTAAGCATCAGCCCAGGTTCCTCTCCTCAGGAGCTCCATCCCCACAGGTCACTGAGGAATTATGCACCTCCRTGGCTGCCATTTTGGGGTAGGTCAAGCACAAACAGAGCAAGAGTAATTTTTTCCAGGGGAGGACAGAAAAAAGCAGAGTGGGAAAAACTCCCACAGTTCAAGACGCTGAGCAGCAGCAGCAACTTGCCAAGCTTCATTTACTTCCTATTTCCCTTTGACCACAGCATGTGCAAACAATTCCATTTCCATCTTTCATGCTACCTAATTAAAGGATTAAACTCTAAAKCCATCAACAAGGTAGCTCATTTAGATCAGGTGTAATAACTTTCTGGGACTGTTTTATGCAGTAACTTCACTGGGGCATCCTGGTTTCAGGCTTGCAAAAATGTACCTAAAGAACTAGACAACTTCTCTCTATTATAACCTGTCAAGTGACAGGCATTTGTTTTACATTGTTACACAGCCATACCAAATCATTTTAGAGGTGAAACCCACCCCACTAAACAGTTTCAAAGAGAGTCATGCAGACAACTGCAGTACACACACCTGACAAGGAGTTTATTTTTTTTAAAACAAGGATTTTAAATATAACACTATTAGTGGGAAGGTGAGGGCAATTTAGAGCCCATGGGTTTCACACTGTGAAGTATATTAGCACCTCCACTATTAGGAAATATCATTACAACACCCACCGACTTAATTTCCCCCATTAATGAGCTGACAGAAGCGGTGGGTTGGTTTGCACATGACCCAGTCCTGAAGCAGTAGCAGCAGCTCCAGCRACTGCCACAGCTTCCTTTGAAGTTTACTCATTCACAAAACTCTTTATAGTTCACTGCACTGCACTGGGGCCAGCTCGCAAGGTGACATTGACCTCAGGATAAAAACAGAAAGGGCATTTGTTTCTTAAAAGGGTAGAATCAACTTCCATGGCTCAAGCAGGAACCACGCTGGCTTTTCTTCAAAAATGGCACTTTTCTTCACAGTCTTATGGCTGTGCAGACTCATGCTGTAGCTTAAGAACACTTTAATGGAGGTCATGAACCCTGAAGCTCATCAGTTATACAAGCTTTGAGTAGGAAAAACACCCAAGGTTGCAGAAGTGTCTGCAAACAGTTCTTGTTGAAGCTACCTGCTTCGGAGAAGCCTTTACACACACAGGCAAGCCCGGCCAGGAGTCGACCATGGCCTGCATGGCCTTTCTCTGGAAAGAAAGAAGGAATTGCCATAGAAAGAGCGAGACAAARTCTGCCTAACTCCTGCAAGCGACACACAACTGTGCAGCCACCTCAATCAGCTCTGAGAGAGCTTTAGAGTGGCTCTTTCCTCCCACCACCCTTAAGAAAACACTCTCTTGTAGAGCATACACTAATGTTACCATCTTTCCTTCATGTAAGGATCCAACTTTCCCATCATGAAGCCTTTAACTAAAAACTCCAGTATCTAAAATCCCACCACACACAACGCAGCTACAAGACAGCATAACATGCAACACAGAAAAAGGCTTTAGGAATGTTTCCTAAACTGCAGTTTGGTCTGTACCTGCTGTTCAGACCCTCTCGTGCAACAGCACCTTAGTGAAATACAGCTAGACAAGCAAGCAGAGTAGCAGGAGGCTGACACCTGTTCTCAGGATTCAAAACAGGCCAGGATGCTCATACCAGACACACACTGCCTTTAATCTCAGTTCAAAGGTAAGACCAAGCTCTTCTCAGTGGTGGCCAGTAATAGGAGAAGGGGTAATGGGTATAAGTTGAAACACAGGAATTTTCATCTTCATGTAAAGAACTACTTTCCTGTGAGGGTGACAGAGCCCTGGGACAGGCTGCCCAGGGAGGCTGTGGAGTCTCCTTCACTGGAGGTCTTCCAAATCCACCTGGATGCTGCCCTGTGCCCGATGTTCCGGGTGTACCTGTTGGAGCAGGGACTAGATGATCTCTGGAAGTCCCAACCTCAACCATTCTGTGATTCTGTGAAAGATCACCTGCAAAGAACTGTGTTCTCAGTACAGAYTGTGAAAGGGCCTATCACCCATGAGCTATGGTCTCAGATATATACATACACTTTGCTATCGTACACTGAAGCCGAACAYTTCCAATCACTGTTCGCAATGACCACAGCAGTATCTTCAAATGAGGTAACTTACAAATTGTAATAGGCACAAGGCAGTCCTGAAGGCCCAAGGCTGARCCTGCAGGATGTAGATGATCTCAGCAGTCTGGAGAACAGAATACTGCTCTTTCCTAAGCATATGCCCAGCAGAATTTTGCCTTGTTTGTACAAGATGGATCTTTTAATGCTTTGATTGACAGGACAAAACACATGGGGAGTGTTTCAAGTCTGCTGACATGAAAAACCTCACTCCAGAATGAGGAATTCTGGTGGAAGTAAGAAAAACTATTCCCAACCACAAAATTGCATGGACAACAATCTACAACCACAATGTATGGCCTTTTCCTCTGCCCAGACAAAAATATGAAAAAAGAGYAAGACCACAGCTCAGTCTCTCACTTTTCTCACTTTTTTCTCACTTTTTCCTCATTTTTTGCCTTGCTCTTTTTTGTCTGCTAGTATAAAAGTACATCCACAAGGGGRAAAAACCCTTCAAAAGTGCCTTTTTGGTATCAGTGTGTAGCTGCCATCAAGTTCTCACACTTCATATACTCTGGACTTTCACATGAATAGCAAAAGCCCTACAGATGTTTATACCATATAATCTACCATCAAATACTTCATACCTTCATTCCTTTCCTGTCTTAACCTTCCCCAATACTCATTCCATTTGTATTGCATCCCTGTAAAAATGCACGAGAAAGCTCCAGCAAAGGTCAAATGAACTGATCTTGGAATAGGAATACTTGAAAATATTCTTCCCAACATACCCAAAAGTCTGTGCAACGAAAGGCTAGTAAGAGCCCCAATACCACAGCTCTTGCCCCATRTCACTTTGCTATGACATTAACCTGTGACCTCTGTACATCGCTTGTCGCCTGCAGGCTGAGCAGCTCAACCCATGGCAGTTCCGAGAAGTCAAACTCCCACAGCCAGTTTCATAGCATACTGAYTGCAGTCATGTCCCTTAAACACAAGCTATTTCTCACCACAGGAAGGAGAAGAGACCGATTCAGACACTGATGAGACATTTTATTATCCCTCATCTTGGGCTGTGCTGTAGGACACGGCAACAATTAACACTAAAGTGGCCACGTGAACACTGAGCCAGGGCCTGTGTTTAACACCTCCCCATCACACCCAACAGCTGGAAATGTCAGAAGCTTCCCCACAGGTGCTACTATTGCCTTTCATTCCTAGAATTCYAGATCTTTGCTCCCTTCAAATGCCAAGGAACTGCCCTGTGGTAGCCTCCTTCGCTCTTATAAAAAACAGTTATTTGAACACCTCTTCTCCAAASAAAAACTGGCCCTACAGAGAAACAAAACAGCAGAAAGCCTAGAATTATTTTGTATCAGCAATGCTCATACATTCTTGAATCTTGTTACAAGGAGTCCAACAGCACTGAACTCTGAACTGTCCCATTCCTCAGGTAAGGGGAAGGCAATCACAGGATGACAATTCACACTCATTGACACCCAAAACCARACAATTCTTAGGTCAAATTGTATCTACATCAAGCTCCTTAGCAACCACAACCCAGCTGAACCAGTCTCAAGGGTAAACAAGCGAAAGCATCAGATAGCTCTTCAAAAAGTCATTACATTAGCCAAAATGGAAYGAGAAAACTGTTTAATTCCAGCAGCGTGTGGCGCTCAGCCTTGCTAGCAGGTAACCACTTGCTCCCCAAAATCTTATACTTTCTTCTTAAGTATCACGTAAAGAATTCAAGTTGATCTGTGGTCACTTAAATTTAGCAATAAATGATGCAAGCTTAAGTGACTCAATAGGATTTTTCTTCAAGTATTTCATTTAGTTATATATGGAACAGCTGACACTAATATTAAATATTTTTTAACATTTTGTCTCAGAAAAAGTGTTAGGAAAATTGAATTTTGAACAAGAACCAAGTACCTTAATAGTGAAACTGCACTTGTTCATCAAGATCTAAATTATTTTGACTGGGAGAAGGAGCACTGATAAAACAGCCAATCATATCTACAATACTTTTCCATATAGATAGCAGCCTTCAAGATGTTTACAAGAACTTTTTTGCCACTGAATTCTCAACTGCTCGGCTGTACATGTTTCTAATCTCTTTAGCATAGCTTGAAATTCTCAAATCTCTGCTCATTTCTCTTTAGCAGGTGCATACCTATTAATGTTTGTTCACTAGGTCTCTCCWAGATGAGATGAACATCAAACATTTTCTGTACAAAGTGCCATTTTAGCATTGAATCTCAAAGCCAAATGCAGCACACAGAAGGTAGAGCTCCCTCTTTCTTCCCAATCCCCTCCTGAAGCTATTAGCAGCATAAAGCAGCTGGGATCTATTTYGCTTACGTTACCTCTTCATACACTTCTCTGACTGCTGCTCCCCCTGGTTCTTCTTCTGGTTCCATTCCTCCTCCTGGCACAATCCACTGATCTGGGTACCGGCTACTGCTCACCAACAGCACCTACAAATAATTGCAAATCACTGTTAAACATCATTTATGTCTTACTACTATATACTCTTACCRCAGTGCACTTGCTCACCTGTCAAGATGGACTGCGACTTTTAAAAATGCAGCAAAAATTGCAACACTGCATCAAACCTTTTWAAGGCTCCAAGACATTTGTACAGTTGTCTCCTTGCATGCTTATTTTCTTCAATGTTAAAAAGGTAACATTCATAAAAATGAAGGTTCAGAGCAAAAAATCTGCAGTATTATGTTTTAGGGTCATATAAACTGGAAAGTATTAGAGATAGGGCATTTCCATCAAACAAATTTAATTCCTCTGAAACTGAGTTTTTGGCTAAAGAACAAAACTTTTGAGAATACTTGCAACTTTTAACCTTAAACAAGCTTTTTTCAATAGCTGAAGTTACATGTTATCATAAACAATTTGCAATACTGCATAACTATGAGGAGAATAATTCATTGGCTCTTGTGCAATTTGATTACTTAGATCATTTCTCTAGAAGGAAAGGCTGCGACAAGCTTTTACATTTTTTTAATTAAAAAGACAAATTCATTCAAGACACTAATTCCACCTAAAATTTGAGTGCATAGCCCGGCTCTATCACTGATAGATAGCTTTTTAATAAACATTGTTCAGAGGACCTGCTTTCCATAGTGTTCAGAACTGTGGAAAGAAAAAAGAAAAAGCCACCACTTTCAGCCACTTACAAGATTACTGGTGTTTTCAACACGTTCTAGAACTAAAAAACTATCAAAATAAGACCTTGATTATGGAAATATATAGGAAAAACAGACATGCAGTAACACACTATGTTCTGGGCGGCACTTACATAACTTGTGCCTTGTGTCAAGTCAGGGGACAACACCAAGGAGGGAAGGAACAGGGTCAGTGCTCAAGTCTTAAGAAAGAACTACCAACAAGAAACTCGTTTTAAAAGTGCAAGCATTTACTAGAGCCAGATGACTTGATTTGACTGTGAAATCCTCACCAGCTACTTGGGTGGTTTTTAAATTCATCTCCCTGTTGGATTGAATAGGAAAAGAATGCCTTGATGAAGGCAAGAAGGGGCAGCTTGCATATATATGTATATATAAACACACATCTACCGGCACACACCATGTTGCTATGGCATGTGCAGAAACACAGCGCAGCCTCATCCACAGAAATTGAGAAGGGTAAAAAAAACCAACACAGTTGCATTTGTGCATACTGAAATGCAACTAAAAACCTACCTGAGAAGAATCTTCCMATTCTAACATTTATTTTACTTGCAATAAAGATTTTTCTACATAAAGAACAGGTAAGAGTATTACTTAGCACAAAATCATTCCTAACATCTGACCTAGAAGCTCGGTATTTCAGTCTAAACATTTTATTCAACTACCTCGTCCAATGGCCTAGAAATAGACACAGAAAACAAGGTTAGACACAAGTTAGTCTCCACTCGGTCCCTATGACAAGTTGTTCCCAGTATTTTCAGTATTAACAGAAAGCTCCAGCAGAGGTACTCAGTTCTACTAAACATGGTGTTCAAAACACTTTTGAACATGTAGTGAGTGATACAGATGCCCCACCTACAGAAGGGAACCACTTGGCCAATGCTTAAAGAGAATTTGTAAAAAAACAAGTTCTGAATGCACTTGTGGGATCCCAGGCATGAGCATCACACATTACTTTCTGCTGAGCAAACCAGTATGTGTTGCAGTCATGTGAAAGCGAGCCCCAACTGCAAACAAAAGGAGGGCTCCACCACATTAAATCATTCCCAGCATAGCAGAATGATCTTAATCAGAGCTCATTGTTTAGCTGAGGCTGAGCATAGATTTCCTAATTACTACTGGGGGATAAATCAGGTTGCAGCTCCTCATAGTGTAGCATGAAGTTGGAACTTTTTAAAGTTTTTGTATATATATAAAAAAWTGTTCATAACCAGCCTGATCAATAGTCCATTGAGCTGCAAATTATATCTATTAGCTTTAATTACCCTGTAAAAAGTATAGGTGAATATATCCAGCCAGTAACCCACACTAGGATATCATTCCACTAGACAGGCATCAGCTATACATAAACTCAGAAGTGTTATGGACAGGGAGATCTCTGGCAGCTCCCCAAAACGCCACTAACCACAGACTTGAAGCATTTTCTCAAGCATCCCTATTTCTAAGTCCTTTCCTCCTATGATCCCTTTGTTCTTACAACTAAAAGGGATCACACAAAGAATTGCGCAAGGTGCACAATTCCTTCTCTTTGCAATACTAAAATTTGAAGCCACTAGGGCATGAGACACCCACCTAGAGGTAGGCTAGCCCTTCACCACCACCTACATTTTACTGGCAATGCTGCCAGCTGATAGCTATCAATGCTAAGACTGCATGGCAAGGCTGAAAAGTGTCCCAAGATAGATTCTCTTAGTTAAGGTAGCAAGCAATCTTGGACTTAATTGCCCCTTTTTCTGGATTCCTTTCAGAGGGTAAAGCGTTCAGGTATTTCCATCCAAGCAGCCATGCAGATCTCTGTGCCTGGCTGACTAGGCTGTAAGTCACTTAAGGCACCAAAAAGCTGCCGCAGCTGCTTAAGAGTAGCGTCACTTCACAAAAGTGCAAAGTCAGAAGCAAAACTGGCAGCAGTTCAATTTCTCCTAAATCAAGAGAAGGGAAACAGGAGAACAGATTCAGGTCACCTGGACACTCTAGAGAAATCTTTTCTAGGTGGCTTGTGTTCAAGCAGATAACAGTAATTAAAAGTTAACACTGCAGAACAACCTATCTGTCTTTTCCAGGCTAAGCGATCCAAGTTTGACATAAAAGCTTTGTTAGGCTTGAAGAAAGAGTACTTTGCTTTACATATGGAAAAGCTGTATACAACATCCGAGAACACAGAAAGGATCATGACTTGCATCATTTTACTTGATAGTGACCGCTGCCTTTCCATGTCCCTAAAGTCCCAGAGTTGATGACTTCTCTTTAAAGTAATATTTCCAGAATACAGAGCAATGGCATCAAACTGGCTTCCCTAGTCCTTGGTGCAAGAAACTTAAGAGGGAGGGTAAGTTGTTATTTTCCCCTTACTGAGTCAGGCAGTAGAGTGGCAATGCAGTTAAGAGGAGGAAAAGATTCTTCCACTAGGATTTATTGTCCAAGGTTTTACCCTCATTTAAAGCCCAGAAATAGCAGTGACCTTTGAGCATAGTGAGAAAGGAACTGCTGGCCAGCCCACTTGTAATAAGCAGCTATCAATCTGCTTAGCCAAGATACAGTTAATGCAAAAAGAAGTAATTACAGAGCATGCGGCATCATGGGACTCACTCACTATAAACATTGGGTCTACAGATAAACAACTAAAGATTTCAAGAAAAAGATGCCAAAATTGTGGCCTATTTAAGTTCTCAAGTCAAGAGAAAGCTGTGAAAGAGCTAGCAGCCATACAATCCAGGAGACAAATGCAACACTTCAAAATACAAGTTACTGCCCAAACCCATTCCTCTGTATATTTTTTCATGCTGGGTAATCCAAAAAGTAAAAAGTGAATTAAGGTTATACAAAGTTTCAGGGTTATTTACCTCCCTTAACTGAGAGGCACTGTAGCTTATGAAAATGATTATGTTAAAGTCAGCTTACATAGAAAAGTTCAGGTTGAAGCTTGCTAGACAGAACAAAATAAACCCTCCAGGCTGGAATCTGCCTTCAAGGCACAACTGTGCACAGCGTGAAGTAGAAGGGCACCATAACCCAGCTGCAAGACTGGATTTTTTCCTACAGCAGATATATTATTTGCAAGGAAAAGTGCACTTACAGATGAAAAGGTTAGTTCCTTGGACAGTTTAAGAGATGTCCTTGTCTTCTCACAGCCTAATCACRTACACTCCTCTGCGCATCCCATCTTCTCTCATCACTTCCAGCAAGTCAGTCTCACTGCTATACCCAACTTGCAGTTTGAATTCCAGAAGGGGATAGCTGGAAGTTTCCCCTTGATGTCTAGTACAGGCCAACACTTGAAAGCAACAGCTGCCCAGAGGGAAAGACACCACGGCCCCTCTCCTGGAACACTGGAGCTGGGCTGTCAATGCTAGGCAGGCACAGCAGCAGTGTGGAGGAGGAAGAGGGACACACAGCTGTGGGACAGCACCGAACACAGCTCCCCACAGGGGTAAGGCTGAGCACATGCTGATAATTCCAGAAGCTTTAAACTAGTCAGACCAGAAACTCCAAACAGTAGCAACAAGCAACCTCTCCYGTACAAAACGGAGCAAAGTGCTATTTCAGAGCACAGATGTACTGTATGTTCTCACAGTTGCCAGAAGCATCTTCRAAGGGAGGCAAAAACACTATTCTGAGAAAACAGCAGGGTCCCTTTTGATGAAAGTTAACCAAATCTACCACAGCACACTCAATGGGGAAAATTTCTACCTGCAGGCTCAGTCTGTGAAAGTTAAGGATGCTTTAACCCAAATACAGTCAAACGCATCAATCAAGACCTGCAGTTTGTTTTAAACTGTCCATAAGCAGATGCTAGAAGAGTGAAAAAACAGGAAAAAGTATAATACTCCCTAAGCTTCTTCCAGCCTCCAATTACTTTCAGCTCAGGAACACCATTAGAAGTGCTGGGAAACTACTTTGAATGCTGCAACACAGGAACAATACAGAGCAACAAGGAAAAACATGCACTTATAAACCCTGTCAGAGCTTAAAAACAAACACTTGGGTCACACTTTGAATACTCACTGTATTAATCCTGCATAAAAGCACAGATTTCAAATTTGAGAACTCATTTCAACCTGCTACTGTATTTAGCCACTTATTCTAAAACTTTTTGCTATTTTAAGGATCATTGCCTCATTTCAGTAGCTTTAAAATAGTTTCTCAGTACTCCTATAGGTTACCATAGTGCCCTTGTCCTAGAATATTACCATCTCGTTTGGGACTCCAAAAAGCTGACAAACACAACCCGCTTTCCCCTTGCACGGCTGGCACGCAGCATGAAGCCCCTCCAGCCC